ATATTAGAAAATATAAAAATGAGTAGTTCGAAAATTTATGACAAATACTAAACATGCCTCCAAGTAACAAAGAAACCTAATTTATTGATCTTGACGATTGAAAAAAGACAATTTTCTGGAAATGATCTTTATATTGCATCCATTCAATGATAGGAAATTTACAGCTTTATTGCACCGTTCCAATGCTACGTTAATCTAGTGGTACCTCATGGCGTGATCACATTTATTGTAGACCGTCGAATGACATTGATGTCGCAGGGTTTTCAAGCAAGCTGTGACAGAACCAATTTTTGCAACCACCGAGAAGGGTCATAGACTGCCTTTCCCGCGACAAGATTGCTGAATTTTGTAGACACATGCTCGATTGACTATCCGAAGAATGCCATTAGTTTGCGATCGCACGATGTACATTGTATGTGACCAGGGCTTTATTGATAAATCGTTTGAGTAGATATCCGAGTCAACTTCTTTTCAAGGACCTCAGACAAGTATGCAAGAGGAGCAACCGTTCTGTAAACGTTCCTCAGCAGGGGGTTCATATCTGTGCCACCAAGTTCACAGTCAGATCGATGGCGGGTTTTGAAGCTGGACTTCAAACGTGTAATAGACCAGCTGCCCCGGAGCCATGCGGTCAATAACCGTTTAGTTCTCGTGGGAAAACCGAGGCTGGGCTGCACACAGTGGGTAATAATGGTGCTCGGAGAATGTAATAGGTTTGGCAGAGAGAGGGGGGACCGCGCGGTCATTTTGGCATCGGTACTATTCGATTTTGATGCCATAGAACTACCAGGCAGGCTGTGACAAAACCAACCACCAACAAGAATCTAAGGCAGTCTTTTCGTTAATAAGATAACCGAATCACGCGGCAGAACACATGCGCGATTATCTCAATGCCCTCAGTTTGCGATCACACGACATTTGTGACCGGGCCCTAACCGTGCTGTAACACCAGCGAATATATGAGAGCATAACATTCCTATTTTTGAAGTACTATTGCCAATCCTTAGATAAACGGAAGATAGCAAAACCAATGAAAACAGTGTCGACCTCGATCCTGATGAATGTGATTTCAAGTGCAGCATGTAAATTATACATATTGTCTTGTGCAATACGTGATTTGAACAAACCCTTTCTACTTTTCGGGTACATGATTCGGGTGCCTGACTTCGGCTGGGGAGGTAAAAGGAGAGGGATGGCCTCCACCTTTCAATACCGTGCCCTAGACACAGTGTAGTTATAACCTACGGCCCCTGCAGCATCAAAAAGGCTATGGACCTTTACCTTCACCCTTCTTATTCTTTGGGCACTGCGTTGATTCCGAACACACTTTTCGGATGTCGATGAAAATTGAATATAAATAGTGACATTAAAAGGTAACAAAAGGCACTTTTTCCAGCACAGGGCGATGATTTATTTTCAGGTGGTTGCAATTGGTCCTCGTCTTTTGCTTCCTCTTTTTCACGGATTTTGAAGGATGGGCAATTCACTAATGTCCCCTTTCCACCAATCATTGAGTGACCAAAATTTGTGTGACCCTTGACGTCTAAATTTTGTATCGTTTCCCCTTTTTGCCAAACACTTTTATCTTTGCAGAAGCCTTGCTTGTAAGGAGAACATCGCACCACAGAGATTGATAATTCCAGGCAGGACCAGCCTGGCAATTATCGCCTGTCGCAATTATATTAGCGTTCAAAGTGTTCCTTCCCGGCATCCTCAGGGAGGGAAGATGGCGGCGTCTCCCTTTTATGTTCTATTTGGCGAAGCTCTACAAGACATCGTTGCGATCACGGAAGGCACCCGCCTGTAATCACATTCCCTCCCTCGCCTCGTCCGCACGTGCTGGAACATTCACGTGTCGTGAGCCGAGCGGGGATAGCCCCGCATACATGGGGAGGTTGTATCGGTCAGGAGTCGTCTTATGTAGGACCTAAATTGATATCTATTATGCATAGCATTAAAGCGCCATAGATAGTCATTACGAGAAATCGTGAACGTATTTTTAGGACGACAAAAATGACACAGCAATATGAATGTGCACACACAATATTGCCAAAACAGAAGGGAAATTGTGTTGACCGAAAATATCTTACAAGATCAAAAATATATTCAGTCTCTCACCAATCGAGTTGATGCTAGTCCAAAGCTGAAGACTTTTTTCAGCCAGGATAAGATCGTCACTGTCTTAAGTGTTTCATTGCATGAATCACAACTTGTTTGTTTGTTTGTCCGTTTTTTTTAATCAAGCCACTCTCATAGACGTTAGATGTTCCATATGTAATAATCAATACCAGAACGTTGACAAAAAAAGTGAGAACGAAAGCGAAGCATCGGTGCACTGACAGTTTTATGTCCGATCGTTACCAGCCATCCCTCTCTGTAAGAACGAAGTCGTGACGCTTCATGTCGTTTGAAACTCTTCATCTATTTTAATGGCAGATACATATGTCACATATCGCCTTCATCCGCGCTCATCCTTCCGCTATTGTGACACAGACAGGGGGATCAAAGTAGCAATCCTGTTAAAATCTGCACGAGCGTCATGATGACCTTTAAATGTGTAATTACGCCTTGCAGTTACCCACATGGCGCTTGCACATAATATAATGACATTTGATATTTGCTATTTTGATCACAAAAGCCACGCCTACGTCCTAAACGTTAGCACTGCCGGCGTCTCTATCCCGTCCAGCCGGTCGTGACGGCCTCGTCACCGCCGCACCACCAGGTGCCCGTACCTCTCTGTAAGAGCCTCATTCATGGGGAACAGCTTGTACTGAGGAGCGTTTGCTAAGCGAGCATGCAGTAAGTTCGGAGGTGGCCTTTTGTGGGCTGCTCAGATCCTGCTCGTGCAGGTGACAACAACGTGCATGCAAATATCTCATTACTCACGACTTCACCAGTTTGATTATGTGCCCAGTCACATACGTCATACGATCGTCGTACGACCACCGGCAAACAGGGGACGTTGTTGCGTTGGGATAGTCGTGCTCGTGTCTTACAACTGAAATTCAGCTGTCTTAGATCCGTTGTTCTTTCTGTCATAGCCAGCTTGAAAATTCTATACTGCATCAAAATCGTAGGACGACCTACGACGAATGTGATCGCGCCATAACAAGTCGACCCTGTTGTTCAGTACAATCGTCTGTCGTGGATGATTGCTGGCATATTTTTCAAATCGCATAATATCTGTCCATTGAGGATTGCTGCGTTGTTATTCCTATCACAGTGGTAAATGTACTTCTATGATTGGTGCTTTTAGTACGTTAAATAGGGCACTTTTCATTGACTAATGCGTTTCCTGTGCCTTCGGTTCCGAATTGATAGAACAAAAACATCGAAAACGAAACTGCACGTCTTCTAGGTGATTTGTAGTTCTTCCCAGCTCGGAGGTTAGACTGGGGTGTAGTGAAGTATTCCAATCCATTAGTCTGTGCGTATGTGCTTCAGTTCGCCCGGAGGCAGTGCAGAGATAGAGTTTCGAGTACATTGTATGTCTGTGCACCGCTAACATTGTTGGCCCATTTCTCTGATGCCTGGTGCGCATTTCCTACCTCTGATGCTCACACCCTCCCTCCTACTACACAAGAACAGTCTGTACCAGGCCTTCCCAAGATAGTAGAATTCGCAAAAACAGGGTCAATATTTGGCCAGGAGAATGAGTCGCGGTGAGGGTAACATTTCTTTAACTGTGCTAGCAAATGTACTCTATGGTGACCCTGGTACATGTTTCTCCCTACCGTTATTTATGATTACTAACTAGTGACTAACACTAGAAGGCTCTAGTCTTCACAAGCCTAACAACGCGGACTGAAGGAGAATTATATTCCAGGGGAGTTTGACCCCCATAGTGTTTATCTGCCCGCGTAGCTTCTAATGGGAAATGCTACCCTCACCGTGGCTTACTCCCCTGGTCAGCAAATGACCCTATTTTGGCGAATCTTACTATCCACAACCCCAGCCTGGCGCAGGCTAAAGAAGGCTCCCGTCCTACTGGCTTCTCGTGAAGCCCTCCGCGGCACCGGATATCCGTGACCATGCAGGTGGCCCGGCGGTCAAGTGCTGAGCTCTCCTCGCGCACCCTATTGAACGGACGGCCCAGGAATGCCGCTCCGCCCTCTGCCACTACTTAACGCATTCAGGTAGTGCAGAGGCTCGGATGGGGTATACCAGTATCACATACATAGCCTTTTGGAGATAGGTGACAATTGACACGTTGTTGTAAGCATCAAACGATGTTTATGTCGACAGATCACCTCACCTAGTCTTCTTGAACCTTGACACATTGCTCACAATTTTGACACTTTGCATATGCTAAAAAGCCTACAACATAATCCACCTGTCTCCTGTACGATGTCGGTCACATCACCAAGGTCGGTCACATCACGTATAACTGATTTCCGAGAAAAAGTTGCCCTGAAGGGCATGTGCCAAGGACACTTTCAAATATTCTACATCACTTACTCATCTCCAGTGCCCACTCGAGGGGCCTGTGGATCCGGACTCCGAATATGGCGGCCAGAGTAGTCAAGTGACAGTAGGCAAGCGGCGATATATGGAATTTAGACGGAGCACAGGCGTCATTTTCAAATAATCAATGGGTAACTATATATTTACATATGAAGGACAAGTGGCTGCTATAGAGCCTTTCAATCCCAGTACTGTGACATACTAGTATACTTCTTCATCTAACTGATAGTCCCCAAAACATTTATTCATGTCTGAATAACACAAGTTCGTCTTTGTTACCTTCACATTAAATGGAGGGTGTGAATCCCTGCACGTATTTTTCAATCGATACATCATCACCTGATCACGACGCCACCGAGGACTTGCTAGCCGCCGATATAAAACTGCATCTCACGAAAACTCGTCTTCTTTTGTCTGATCCTGCCTACAACTACAGCAATACAAGCTTTGGCATCACGTCACATGATCTGCTGCAATTGCAAAGCCAGTTTCTCGATATTCCCCGTCACGAGCCTTTCTCTAGAAAAGCAGCTGAACACTTCACATGCGGCAGGGCTGACGTTCCGTACAGCACAGGTACGTAGGTGTGCGCGTGTTTCTGTGCGTGGTGTTGTGTTTTCCTTTGTACGTATGCTTTCAGGGAAGGTCATACCTTATTGAATGTATCACTGGGTCGGGATGTCTTGTCCGTACATGCCTGGAAGGTTACCTGGCCTTGTGAGCACGGCGACCACCGTTACCCTCAGTAGCGAACCATGTTCTGAAAGTACGGTCGGCTTGAGTCGCTCCTTGTATCGCGTTACTCACTAAGGAATAGGCTGAAAATGCCAGGATGTTTATTGAAACCGAATCGGTCGCTATTATGGACCGCAATCCTGCAGTTTTATCTGACAGTCCTTTTTGGATAATTGACAGCGACGTTTGAGGGAGTAAATAAGGTTGACGTACGTATATAACCTCTGTTCTTTAAACGGTATTTGGGTCGATACCTAATTCCACAGGGCTTGTAGAGTCATCATTACCGAAACCAGACTGGAGAGAATTAGTGATCCCTCATTAGAAGTTTCAGAAATATGTCGAACATGTATGAAATGTGTGTTATCCATGTGGTGGATGTAGTTGACGTATGTTCCCCATTCTCTAACCGATGCCTTTGGGTCGATGTCTAATATCAGACCTCCCTTGTGCTTTTCTTGAATTGGTAGGATCTCCGCTTCCGTTCCACACTTCCGACTACATGCAGCAGGTAAATATTCCTCTTATGATAAGTTACCAAGCTATGCTGCACAGTTGGACTATTCCTCAAACTTTATCCATAGTTTAAATAATGCTGACGTAAAGCCCTAATCGTTTTAACGGTGTCTTTGGATCAATACCTAATTTCGCCAGGATCATACAGTTTTCTTAGCGGGATATCCTTCCACATTACACGCCATTCCTCATAGCAAGCTTCAGAACTTCGTAATGCAGGCATAACACAAGTGTTATGATTATCAAATGTCTGCCATGTTAAGGGGCAAGTAGTAAACCTATCGCTGCATAAGTGTGGCTCTACTGACCTGGAGTAGGTCGCATTTGTGGCAAAGTTTCAGGTTTTGTTTTACCTACAAACGACAACCAACGAGTGGCGTCAAGGAGCAAAAGTTACGTCCACACCCAAACACGCGAGACGGTTGTTTGTGTAGCGCCAGGGTAGATGTCTTTAAAAGGCCCAGATTGTCGGTGATGAGAGGGATACCTGCCAGTCTGCTGGGTCCACACACTGTCAACGTTCTTAGGGCGAATTTACTGATTGCTGGAAGGTCGCCAAATTTCAAACCCTCCTGAAAATATGCCCTGTTACACTGAAAATGGCTCTGCGAAAAGCGGTCGGTTTCGGAAAATCGCGCCGTGATCGAAAGGACACCGGCCGTATTGTTGCCGAAAATGTACATTTCGAGCTCACCGGACGCGCATTTTCCTGCTGTGTGACGCCGGCTTAAACCTCCATCCGTCAGTAGAGGTGGAACAGGTGCTGACAAACGGAAAGTCGGGATCGGGTCGGCCTAACAGCGAGCGGAAGTTTTGACAACAGTGCCGCCAGTTGATGTTTGACAAGAAGTCATTGAGCTTGGCAAGTTCAGATGCATTGAAAAGGCTCTTTGGGATGTAAATAAACGAACCGTAGCAAAAAGGTCTGAGCGGTACATGTAAGTCTTACCGATTTGGCGTTGACCACTGGGAAGTGTACATGATGGGACCATGATACATGAACCAACTGAGGAACAAGCGTTTCTAACGGGCAGGCCGTCAATTTGAACTGCGCAGATGTGTGGCACTCCACTGCCATGGGGCAAAAAAGACATACGTCGTAGAACTGTCGGCTCCTCGTAACTCCAGACAGCTTCTGCTATCCTTGCGTGTCCCCGTAGACTTCGTTCTTTTTCCTCCAGGGCAAGGTAGTGTGCTTTCAATGTCTGTTATCAGTGTCTTAACCGGTAGCAACTGTCGTCCTTGCTCTGTGTCAGTCATTGCGGTGCGTGTTTGACCTCGGGCTGCAGTGTCTCAAGGTGGGAGAAAAACGCACCGTTTCTGTGTGTGTGTGCTGTGACGGTGTGTGTGTGACGGTGTGTGTGTGCTGTGTGTGTTTGTGTGTGTGTGTGTGTGTGTGTGTGTGTGTGTGTGTGTGTGTGTGTGTGTGTGTGTGTGTGTGTGTGTGTGTGTGTGTGT